GGCTAGGATCTGGAACCAACTTCCAAGAGAAGTGGTGCTGGCTCCTACCCTGGGGGCCTTTAAAAGGAGGCTGGATGAACACCTTGCCAGGGTCATTTGACCCCAGTACTCTTTCCTGCCATGGCAGGGGCTCGAACTTGATGATTTGTCAAGGTCCCTTCCGATCCTACAACTATGAAACTATGAATAACAAATGTGTTCTCTTAAATGGTCAATTTTCTATTGTATTTTACTTTGAGAACCATTCCAATGTGATTTCTTATGTTTTAGAAAGGTTCTGCTACATCCTTGTATATATTTTGGTTTGGTTTCACAGACTTGTATTCAGAACAGGTTTATTTTTATCTTTAGTGGATTCATAGTTTCATAGTTGTTAGGGGCTGGAAGGGACCTTACAGATCAGCAGGTCGAATCCCCCTGCACTTGGGCAGGAAAGACTGCTGGGATCCATTGAATAGGGTTTGATTTGCTCTTGTACTTCTGTTGTAGCTAAATAAAGGAGAAAGAACAAAGTGAAAAAAAATCTACTGCTCACAAACAGAGAAGAATTGGTGGGGCATGTGGTAGTGGATGGCAACTTGGGCACCAGTGACTACAAGATTATAGAGTTCAGGATCCTGAGGAAAGGAAAGATGGAGAGCAGCAGAGTAAGGACCCTGGACTTCAGAAAAGCAGACTTTGACTTGCTCAGGGAACTCATGGGCAAGATCTCCTGGGAAGCCAGACTGAGGGGGAGAAGAGTCTAGGAGAGGTGACTGTACTTTAAATAAGCCTTACTAAGAGTGCAGGAACAAACCATCCCGATGCACAGGAAGACTAGTAAGTATGACAGAAGACCAGCTTGGCTTAGCAGGGAACTCTTCAGTAAACTAAATCACAAAAAGGAAGCTTATAAGAAGTGGAAACGTGGACAAATAAATAGGGAGGAGTATAAGAGCATTGCTCGGGCATGCAGGGATGAAGTCAGGAAGGCCAAAGCACAACTGGAGTTACAGCTAGCAAGGGATGTGAAGGGTAACAAGAAGGGTTTCTACAAGTATGTCAGTAGCAAGAGGAGAATCAGTTAAAGTGTGGTTCCCTTACTGAATGGGGGAGGCAACCTTGTGACAGAGGATGCAGAAAAAGCTGAAGTGCTCAATGCCTATTTTGCCTCAGTCTTCCTAGGCAAGGTCAGCTCACAGACTACTGTACCAGCAGCATAGTTTGGGGGGGAAAGGAGCAGCTAACAGTGGCAAAAGAACAGGCTAGGGACTATTTAGAAAAGCTGGATGTATACAAGTCCATGGGGCCAAATGGGATATACCCGGGTGCTAATGTAGATGATAGGATTGCAGAACCACTGGCCATAATCTTTGAAAACTCATGGCTATCAGGAGAGGTCCCAAATGATTGGAGAAGAGCAAACATAGTGCCTGTATCCAGGGGAAATGGAGGATCCAGGAACTACAGACCAGTCAACCTCACCTCAGTCCCTGGAGAAATCATGAAACAGATCCTCAAGGAATCCATTTCTCACATGGAGGAGAAGAAGGGAACAGTCAGCATGGATTCACCAAGGGCAAGTCATGTCTGACCAACCTGATTGCCTTCTATGATGAGATAACTGGATCTGTGGATGCAGGGAGACTGGTGGATGTGATATACCTCGATTTTAGCAAGCCTTTTGATACGGTCTCCCACAATATTCTTGCAGGCAAGCTAAGGAAGCATATGAATGAATGGACTGTAAGGTGGATAGAAAACTGGCTGGAGCATTGGGCTCAGAGAGAAGTAATCAATGGCTCGATGTCTAGTTGGCAGCAGTATCAAGTGGAGTGCCCCAGGGTCAGTCCTCGGGCCAGTTTTGTTCAATGTCTTCATCAGTGACCTGGAAGATGGCAGAGTGCACCCTCAGCAAGTTTGCAGATGACACCAAGCTGGGGGGAGTAATAGATATGCTGGGGGGTAGGGCTAGGATTCAGAGTGACCTAGACAAATTGGAGGTTTGGGCCAAAAGAAATCTCATGAGGTTCAACAAGGACAAGTGCAAAGTCCTGCACTTAGGATAGGACAATCCCATGCACCAGTACAGGCTGGGGGCTGACTGGCTGGGCAGCAGCTCTGCAGAAAAGGACCTGGGGGTTACATGCTGAATATAACCCAGCAGTGTGCCCTTGTTGCCAAGAAGGCTAACAGCAAACTGGGCTGCATTGGTAGGAGTGTTGCCAGTAGATCAAAGAAAGTGATTCTTCCCCTCTGTTCAGCACTGGTGAAGGCACATCTGCAGTACTGTGTTCAGTTTTGGGCCCCCCACTACAGAAATGATGTGGACAAATTGGAGAGAGTCCAGCAGAGGGCAACAAAAATGGTGAGGGGGCTGGGGGACATGACTTATGAGGAAAGACTGAGGGAACTGGGCTTATTTAGTTTAGAGAATAGGAGACTGGAAGGGGACTTAATAGCAGCCTTCAACTACTTGAAGTGGGGCTCAAAAGATGATGGATCAGGACTGTTCTCAGTGGTGGCAGATGACAGAACAGGGAGCAATAGTCTCAAATTGCAGCAAGCGAAGTGTAGGTTAGAGATTAGGAAAAATTTGCTGGCTAGGAGAGTAGTAAAGCACTGGAACAGGTTACCCAGAGAGGTGGTGGAGGCTGCATCCTTGGAGATTTTTAAGACCCAGCTAGACAAAGCTTTGGCTGGGATGATCTATTTGGGGATGGTCCTGCCTTGAGCAGGGGGTTGGACTAGATGACCTCCTGAAGTCCCTTCCAACCTTAACTTTCTCTGATTGTATGAATATAACGAGGTCCACCTCCTTCAGGGAGCTAATCAAGCACTGCCACCTCCTGGCAGCCTTTGTCGTATGCAGAGAATGAGAACTGGCAAAGGCTGAATTGTTGGCGTAAGTCCGAGACTGAACTGCCACAGACATTTTAAAGACTACCTTAAAACAATGATTTCTAGTAAGAGTTTTCCCCTGACAATAGTATTGCTCTTTTGGCATCTAGTCGACTGCTCCGCATACTCCTCACGTGGACTTACTGGTAGATGCCTCTGGCATCATTAAAAAATAAGTGACCCCCGAAACACCAGTAGAGGCGAGGTTTAATTGAGAGACCGTCTGGCTTTCCTCTCTCTTCCTGCACAGGCTGTGCAGGGCCTCGCCCCCGCAGACCCCGCTCGCCAACACGAAACTGCTCCGTGTGTAGCCGGCGCTGCCCCGCGAGTCCGCAGCCGGGGGCCGGGGCCGCCGCGGGCCCTCCCA